CACCATAAGGTAAGCAGCACAAGTTCTCCCTGTCCTTAATGGTCTTCCTCACCACAGGCCCAGAAACAATGGAGCCGGTTGAACATGTACTGAAGCTTCTGAAGCCGTAAGCCAAAACTCCTTCATTTAAATTCTCAGATGTTTGTGTGTCTCCATGTTTACGTATGAGTGCAGTTAAACACTTGCTATTGCATGCCCAGAGGAGTCAATGGACAACCTTAGGTATCAGTCCTCACGTTTCACTATTTGATTCAGTGGATCCCCCCTCCCAACTCCCACCCCACTGGAGACAGGGTTTCTTTGTGTAGCCCTGGCTGTCCTGGAACTAGCTCTGTAGACCAGCCTGTCCTTGAATTCACAGATATCTGCCTGCCTTTGCCTCCAGAGTGCTGGTATCAAAGGTGTGCACCACCACCACCAGACTGAGTCAAAGATTCTTGTTGCTTGTTACTAAGTAAAACAGGCTAGGTAGCCTGCAAATCCCTGGAGAGTCTCCTGTCTCTGCCTTCCATCTCCCCATAGGAGCACCAAGATTACAGACATACACTAACATGCCTGGCTTTACATGGGTTCTAGGGAATTGAATTCAGGTCCTCACACCTGCTTAAAAAGAATACAGTTTAACATAATCACCATTTTGTTTTTTGCTTCCTGTTTTCTTTCTTTTTTTTTTTTTTTTTTTTTTTTTTTTTTTTTTTTTGAGACGGGATTTTTTCGTGTAGCCCTGGCTGTCCTAGAACTTGACCTGTTCTGAACTCACAGAGCACTGGCTGCCTCTGCCTCCCAAGTGTTGGGATTAAAGGCATGCACTGCCACCACCACCACCTAGTTCTTCATACTCCAGAAGAGACAGATGTACAATATGGAATATATGGGCATTGGACATCTTAGACAATTCTATCAGAAGGGGGATCAATAGGGCAGATACACTGCTGGAGTGGAATCTAGGAGGCTTGGGTGTTATACTTGCCATATATTTTCTGTTCTATTTTGCTTTTTGAGTCAGGATCTCAAGCCTGTCTTGAACTCATGATTCTCCAATCTTCTTGATTGTCGGATTACAGACATATTGCACATCATTGCACCTGTCTTTCACTTAAAAACTGTCTTGCAAACACCCTAGTCCTGTCCTCTGCCTTCTGGAAACTGCCCAATACCTGAAACAGTCTCTTTACAATCTCTTATCACCCCAAAGCATTCCTGAAGCTTTTACTGGGGAGTATAACTTTAATCCCAGCACTTAGGAGGCAGAGGCAAGGGGATCTCTGTGCGTTCCAGAACAGCCAGAGCTACATGTCTTGAACTACCCTCCTCCCAAGAAAAGATTTTACAGAGACTCCCAAGTTTCTTTGGTTTCCTCACTTCTCATCTTTTCCCCTCTTACCCTTGAAGATGGGGAAGGCAATAACATCTACCAACAGAAGCCTAAAGCCCAGGCTTTCAGTATTAACTTCAAAATTCACATAGAGCCTTTGTGCAAAAGACAAATGGAGATTTGGTTACTATTCCTGCTTTTTAAATTTTTCATGTTATTTTATGTGTGTGGGTGTTTGCCTGCATGTATGTTTGTACACCATGTAGATGCAGTGCCCATATTAGCCCAGAAGAAGGTACTGGATCCTCTGGGATTATTAGAGTTACAAACTCCAGTGAGTCATGAGGGTACTAGGAATTGAACCTGGGTCCTCTGGAAGAGCACCCGATGCTCTTAACTGCTGAGGCATATCTCTAGCTCAAGCACCACTCTGAGCCTGACCAAGGTAATTATGCCTTTAAACCCAGCCCTTAAGAAGCAGAGACAGGCAGATCTTTGAGTTAGAGGCCATCCTGGTCTACAAAGTGAGCTCCAGGACAGCCAGGGATATACAGAAAAACCCTGTCTCAAAACAACCAAAAAGTGTCATGCTGTGGAGGTCGAAGACAACCTGTGGGAGTTGCGTTTTCCATTTTTGGGTCCTAAGGGTTGAACTCAGGTCATCTGGCTTGGCAGCAAGTGTCTTACCTGCTGAACTATCTCACTGGCCCTCTTCCCTGATTCTGATTATGTACTGCCCTTAAAGTCCTGTGCATCTCCAAAATACAAAGTCCCTGCAATACCAAACACAAGTCAAGAAATTTCTAGGAAAGTATCAATAACAAATAGCACAGGAGTTATGATTGAATGGGTAAGACAACATTCTAGTCGACTAGTGCCAGAGTTTCAAATTTGAGGTAGGCAGCCAAGTGTGGTAACTCACACCTGTAAACTCAGCATTTGGGAGGATTGCTGCTAACTCTTGTCAAGCCTTATATGGTAAATTCTAAGCCAGCCTGGGTAGAGAGTGAGACCTTGTCCCCAAACAAACAAACAAAGGGCTGAAGAGATGGTGCCTCAATTAACAGCACTGGCTGCTCTTCCAGAGAACCTAGGCTCAATTCCCAGCACTCACATGGTTCACAGTCATCTGCAACTCTTTCTCTGGCCCTCAATGGTACCCAAACTCACATGAGCATACAATGCACATAATTTTTTAAAATAAACACAAAAATACAAAGACAATTCCAACTACTTAGAAGGCTAAGGAGGGTCACAATATCAAAGCCAGCCTAGGCTACAGCGTACAAGCCAGCCACTGTAACTTAGAGAGGCCCAATCTCAAAAGAAAAAGAAAAAAGAGGGCTGGAAGTCAGGAAGTGGTGGTACACACCTTTAATCACAGCACTTGGGAGGCAAAGGCAAACAGATCTCTGAGTTTGAGGCCAGCCTGGTCTACAGAGTAGGTTCCTGGACAGACAGGGCTACCCGTCTTGAAAACAGAACAACAGAAAGGGCTGGGACTACAGTTCAGTGGTTAGACCGCTTTCCAAGTATCTACAAGGCTCAAATATAGTAGTGAGGAAAAAGAAAGAAAAAAAGGACGGCAATAGTGGGGCAATGCTTATGTATGCCGAAGGCAGCAGAGAGAGCAGCAAGTTAACAGCAAATTATAACAGACAATATAAGCTAACATTTACTGAATTCAGACTTTTGTCTTTAGCCCTTACTGGGTTCTTGGTGCTGGGCTAAGTGTTTTACACAAAGTAGCACTGTGGCCATCTCACAGTCTGTACCTTTCTTCAAAGGAACATTTAGAACTAAGAAATGGGAACTCACATCCCCATCCTTCACTACCACCAGGCTGGAGGGGCTGGAATTAGGGACATCTCTAATTTAGTAATTTTGCTACAGATGGGCCTGAAAGTCATCTTATTAAATTTAGAGTAGTGGTTCTCAATCTTCCTAATGCTTCGATCCTTTAAATACAGTTCCTTATGTTGTGGTGACCACCCAATCATAAAATTATTTTCATTGCTATTGTTATGGAATCGTAATGTAAATATCTGTGTTTTCTTATGGTTCTAGGCGACCCCTGTGACCCCAAGGGGGGATTACGATACACACGTTGAGAACCGCTATTCTAGATATAGTGTTATGAAAGGAACTTCTGTCACTCTTGTGTAAGAAACTATTGTCCCAACAAGCATTGCCACTCGCTGAGGGGTGGTTGGAAGTTAAGGCCAAATACTTGTGCACGAACTTCGGATTTACAGGGCTACCCTCTTGCTTTCCCAAACATTCCATCTGGAAGACACTGCACAGCCAGCGGTTCATAGTTGGGAGGACAACCTCTCACCAAACTGTCTTAGCAATTCCCCAGGAAGGCTCAACCCCCAGTCCAACACCAAAACACAATGATTCCAAAGACGTTGGGGGAGGGGAAAGGCTTTTCCACCTAACTTCCCTATGCATTGCCACCCGACAGGCCCTGGGTTGGGCCAGGGTGAAGAAACTTGTAGGGCATTTCGAGCCGGCTAATCAATCCTCAGGGGCTCATCCTTCTAAATTACAGGATTAGCTCAACGAGGTTAGAGGCAACCTAAGCAAAGGCAAACCACTGCGGTTTTTTAAAGTCTTGTTTATGTCTGGGCCCGCGTAGAGCAGTAACTACAGGTAGACTCCCTTCTGCCATGCCCGCCATCTGCTCGCGGATTCCCAGAGGCCTCGCAAGCCTTCAAGACCCTCAGTTTCCGAGTTCCCGGCTCAGAGCGGCCTCCATTCCGGCCTTTCAAGGCCCAGACAGCCCGGACCCGCGGCTCACCCTCCAGAGTCTCGCACTGCACCAGATTGAGGTAGTCCGCCTGGCTGAGCACCCCGGCCTTCAGGCCGCGCACTAATCCCTCCAAGTAGCCATTGTCCACGTTGAAATAAAGCTCCGGGAAGAACGACATGGCTGCGGCGGGAGCGGCGGGGGCGGCGGGGGCGGCGGGAACAGAGAGCCCTGATCAGCCCGCACGCAACCCGACTTCGAGATCAGCTGACAAGGCGCCCGCAGAGGGCTGTCAAGTGCGTCAGGTGACGCAAAGCGTCTCACGTGACCACAGCGGGGCTGGCTCTTAAATGTATCCAGCTTCCGGGTAGCCTGGCGCGCGAGCCCTCCTCTAGGCGCCTGCGCACTAAGGCGAGGCGGGCCTTCGGCGCCTAGCGCAGAGCAAATCAACCACCGCGTGGTGGTGCTAATACCCGCAGGATTCCCGCGGCGCCCTCAATTTAGTTTTCCCGAGTTAGGCGCTTCTGTCAGGCGCTGTTGGAGCCAACCAGGTAAAGGTGAGCGTGTGTGCTCTTCCTTATGCTGACGAGGCTGTCCCATACCAGATGGAAACCGAGGTCCAGAGAAGGGAGGTGGTGGTTTGAAACCAATGTTAAGCCACCAGCTAGATTTTACACCCCCGTAAGCTGTGCTGTGCCCGCTTTCCCTGCATTTGTTTCTCTAGATTCTCTGGGACTGGCATGTGGACTCCTGCTTTCCCCATAGGGTCCTGGTGCCTTAAAAATCGCCGATATACGTGGCTCAAAGGATGGAGTAGCCTAGACCCTGAGGTTAGGTTATAGTTGTAGTGTGTATAGTTGCGACATTACGACGCCCCCTACCCTCCAGTGAGACCAACAACCCTTCGACAGCCACATTCAAAATAACCACAGCTTTAGGGTTGGTGCCGTCCTTTATTCGCGACCCTGCCTTTGCCTATATCCGTTGACTAGGTGCGGCTGCAGAGATTCGTGGCAGTACCCAGCTTGCGGCAGTAGCAAAAGGCGTTGAAGAAGCGGCAGTAGCACGTGGCACACGGGTCGCAGCAAGGTACTTGCTGTCCCAGGCAGGACTCATGCAGCCTTACACAGCGACGCGGAGAACGAGACTCGCGATTCTGTGGATCTAGCACCTGTATTCATAGAGGAACAAGAACATTTGACCGCAGTTTCAGGAAACTCTCCCACCCCATCCCAGTAGAATGACAGTGGAGTGTGGGGCAGGGAAGGTCTACAGTTCTGCCCAGGTTGGATGGTCCGGAAGTGGGGAGAGAGGATAGTATTTGATACCTACTACTTTATCCCTTTCCCTGAAGAGTTACCTCCGCCAACGCTTCTGCCTTCTGCAGCAGAGCCTCTTCTGTTCCGCCTGCAGTTGCACGCTTCCGGCCATTCAGACTTAGACCTGGGACAGAGGATGTGAGGGCCATACCCACCATGCCCCAAGTGCGCACCTCCAGGGTTGGGATTGGAATTCGGGAATGAGGGCTTAATCCACACAGGCAGATTTGTGACCAGCAATTGTCCTCAGCCCACACATCCCCAACCTGACCATCCTCACCTGGGAACTCTGGGAACAGGGCCTGGTCAGGCCTTCTGATGCCTTCCAGGGGTGCCAGGCCCATCTGGACCCCCAGCGTGGGAGGCAGTGCCAGCAGCAGGGTGCAGCTCAGCAGCATTACAGTCAGCATGCCTGGCTCAGCAGGAAAAGCCCCCTTTTAGTCTCCCCTCATCCTTGGAATACCCTACAAATGCCAAGAGAGATAATCCCAAAAAGTCAGAATTCCTGTCTAACCTTTGCACTTACCTTTGCTTGCTGATCCTTGCCAGGAGAGTTGCTGGCCACTTGTGCCCTGAGCTTATATAGCAGGGTCTAATAAAGGGCCCACACGTGACCTCTTCCTGCAGCCAGGGCATGAGGGGCCCTCCCTGAAAAATGGGACACAGTTTGGCTTTCTCCCTAGAACCTGAACCATTGGCATAAGTCTCTAAGAACCAATTAAATTTTTGGAACAAAATAGGGTGTCCAGACCCTAAAATTTCCATAAGACCAGAACCTAGGGATGGGTCAGGCTAGAACCATTAGTAATAATGAGGCAGGCGGCCCTGTGATCTTAATTTAATTTCTGGCCCCACAGATGTTCACTTAGATTCTTTATGGGCATGTTGTTTCCTTTGCTTCCAGGAACTTTGATCAAGGGCACCAAAGGGCCAGTGAGTGTCACCAGCCAGGAGTGGAGTAAAAAACTAGACCCAAGCTTTCTTTGGAAGACAGGTCAAAAAAAGCTCTCCCAGCTAAAACCACACTCTCCCTCCCTACCTCATCTTTCCCTTCTTTAAGACCCCCTAATCGTGTTCCTGTCCCTAAGCCCCTTTCCACCTAGGGTTTCTGTAAACCAAGGGAACAGAACGAACTGTTCCCAGGGTGGGCACCCGGCTTCAGAGTAAAAAGCTTTCAGCCCGCCTGCTTCATTAGTGTTAATGCAGCTCCCTTCCTCCCTGTATTGTCAGGCCTCTGCCCACGCCAGTCTCATCAGCTTGGGTACATGGTGAGGGCTGCCCATTTGTGAATGTAGCAGGCCCCACAGGACCCTTTGTTTGTTTGTTTGTTTTGTTTTGTTTTTGAGTCAGAGTCTTACCATGTAAGATCAGGCTGGCCTCCAACTCACAGAAATCCACCTGCCTCTACCTCTTAAGTGCTGGGATTAAAGGCATTCGCCACCTCAGTTGGTAGGATTTTTTATGTTGTTTTTGTATGCATGTATGTATGTGCACCATGTGCATGCCTGGTGCCCAAGGAGGTCAGAATAGTTTTTGGATACCCTGGACCTGGAGTTATGGATGTTGTGAACCACCATATAGGTGATAGATAGGAACTGAACCTGGGTCCTCTGCAGAAGCATCAAATGTTCTTAACCTCTGAGACAACTCTTTAGCCCCTTGGTGGGCTTTTTTTTTTTTTTTTTTTTTTTTTCATGAGACTGGAGAGTTGGCACAACTGTCTATATATAACTCCAGGATCCAACACCCTCACACAGACATATATTCAGGCAAATCACCTATATTATTAATTTTAAAAAATTATTCACATGTCCATTTGGAAAAGGAATACAGGATGAATCATCTTGGAGACCCCAGTACAAAAAGAAAAGCTGAAAGAATTGTAAGGCATATTCATATGGACTCTTCTTTTTCTTTTTTTAAATTGTTTTTTCAAGGTAGGGTTTCTCTGTGTAGCTTTGGAGCCTGTCGTGGGACTTTCTTTGTAGACCAGGCTGGTCTCAAACTCACAGAGATCTGTCTGCCTCTGCCTCCCAAGCACTGGGATTAAAGACGTGTGCCACCAAAGCCTAGCACATATGGACTCTTCTCATTGGTGGTTGCCTGAGAAAATCCTCTCACCAGGAGTGAAAACTACAGAGTGCTCTTTGGCAGCCTTCACCTAGAGTCCATGTCAGTTAATGTCTGGGTTCAAGGAGGTGCTCTGCAGAGGATGGGCCTATAGCATCCCATGCACAGACAGACATTGATAGCTAGGGTCTGGCTGGCATTGTGTTCTCCTGCAGGTGACTCAGGGTACATTCCTCAAAACTCAGGATCTACTTTCTCTTCCCCAGGTTGGAGGCATGAGGATCTGGAGAATGCCCCTTTAGGGGAGTAGTCCCTGCACTTACCCTTTAGGACAGCAAGGGGCAGCCCTTTTTTTCTCCCCTGAGAATAGTGTAGGCAGTCACTGATGAGCCTGACACTGAGTAGGCCTGCCAGTGAAACCTGTTTGTAAACTGATCTGAAAGTTTGGTGCCCCACTTCAGGACTTTGTCCTCTCTGGAATGACAGGAAAAAGTAGAGCTGTATACTGGCTACATCCCTTGGAGCTCAAGAACAGCAGTACATGAAGTGAACATGAGATGCTTTCCTAGATCTTGTCTGTTTGTTTATTTATTTTAAGATTTATTTATGTATGAGTGCTGTACACATGTATGCCTGAAGTGGGCATCAGATCCCACTATAAATAGTTGGGAGCCACCATGTGGTTGCTGGGAATTGAACTCAGGACCTCTGGAAAGCAGCCAGTGCTCTTAACCGCTGAGCCATCGCTCCAGACCATATTTATTGGTTTTGTTTTGTTCTTGAAATAGGGGTTTTTTTCTATGTAACCCTGGCTGTCCTGGAACTTGCCCCATAGATCTACTTGCCTCTGCCTCCTAAGTGCTGGGATTAAAGAAGTGTACCACCACTGCCTGGCTCCCAGATCTTTTCTTCAGTCTCTATTACTGGAGATTCTGGCTGAAGAGGTTAAGCAGGGGCAGCTTGTGAATTGGAAAAATGCACCAATGAGCTGAAGCACCTTATAATCACAACACTTTGGAGACTAAGGCAGGAGGATTGCTGAGATGAGGGATCTGGAAATTTGGCCACATCTGTTTAGTACCTATCCACAGAACAACTCTTCATGTCCCCACTAGGGCCTCCTTCCACTCTGAAGGTCAGCTGTCTTCACCTGGCAGTATGTGTACCAGTGTATCAGCCCATTGGGCAGTGGCAGATAAGGGCCATGGTGCTTATGGGTTAATCCATGACCCTGGTCAGGTCCAGTGGAAGAGACCCAGACATCAAAATACAGTGAGATAGGTGATAGGCAGCAAAATGATGTCCACCAGCAGGGACACTCAGTTAACAAAGCCACATGCTACATTAACAAAGTTCTCTGGCAAAAGAGACAATCCTAAACGTGGGGCCTCAGAAGCTTTGGGATCAGCAGGACGACTATCAAACTCTTCTCTGACTTCACAGCATTCTAAAGGAAGCAAATGTCAGGTCTCCTGATGCATTGGGGTCCAGCAGACACTGCAGAAATAACAGGATGTTATCCAAGAAATACAGAAGGAACTGTCTCCAGGAATAGAATTCATCCAGTGTGGAGATCCAAAATAATTGCCGTAGCTGTTGTTTGCCATTAGGTAAAAGAATTATCTTTACAATAGCTTCCTAAATGACAAATGAAAATTGTATATTGACTGTAAATAATTTGAAAAAAAACGAAATATAGAACATTTAGATGGACCAGGTGTGGTGATGCACGCCTTTAGTCCCAGTACTCAGGAGGCAGATCTTTGTGAGTTTGAGGCCAGCCAGCTACAGAGAAACCAAGTCTTGGGAAAAGAAAGAAAGAAAGAAAGAAAGGAAGGAAGGAAGGAAGGAAGGAAGGAAGGAAGAAAGGAAAGAAAATGTTTCCCTACAAATGTCAACTTTAAAAAAAATAGTGACATAAGTCATGTGCAGTGGCACATGCCTGTAATCCTGCAAGTAGGAGAGGGGTCAAGACTTAGAGGCCAACCTAGGCTACAGTATAAAATGCTGGTTTAAAAAAAAAAAAAAAAAAAAAAAAAAGCTGCCTTTTCTCGCTCCCCGGCCATCTTGGCGGCTGCTCTTGGTTGGGGGCTGTCCTGCACCTAAGGCAGGAAGAGGGTGGCCGCAAAGAAGACGAAAAAGTCCCTCGAGTCCATCAACTCTAGGCTCCAGCTTGTTATGAAAAGTGGGAAATACGTGCTGGGATACAAACAGACTCTCAAGATGACCAGACAGGGCAAAGCGAAGTTGGTTATCCTTGCCAACAACTGCCCGGCTTTGAGGAAATCTGAAATAGAATACTATGCCATGTTGGCTAAAACCGGTGTCCATCACTACAGTGGCAATAACATTGAATTGGGCACAGCACGTGGAAAATACTACAGAGTATGCACACTGGCTATCATTGACCCAGGTGACTCTGATATTATTAGAAGCATGCCAGAACAGACTGGTGAGAAGTAGTAAGCCAGAAAAGCCTTCCTTTAATAAAACCACCAGAGCTCTTTAAAAAAAAAAAAAAAAAAAAAGCTAAGTGTCTGTCTAGGTGTGCCTTTAACCCCAGGAGGCAGAGGCAGGCAGATCTCTCTGTGAGTTCATGGCCAGCCTGAACAGTGAGGACTATAGAGAGAGAGAGACCCTGTCTCAAAGCAAACAAACTTAAATAGGCTAAGTACTTTGGCTCAAGAACATTCAAGGACTTGTTGGGCCAGTTTAGCCACATACCTCAAGGAAGGCTTCCTAGGGGAGGAGACCTTTCTTTGGTCATGAAACTTGAGTAGGAGTTAAGGAGGGCTGGGACAGTATAAGTTTCTTAGATTCATAACTGACACACTGTTTACCAATCAGTCTGGTTAACACTGCTTAACTCATACTCTTGTCTCTAACCTGGTTCCTTCCCAAAAGCCCAGCCCAATAAATAGTTGACTTTTTCTCTTTCAACTGTAACTGGGAAGCCAGCCATCCTCCAAGGTTCAGCTAGTGAGTCATCAACAATCATCTGTAGCCATCACTCCATTGTACAACTTCTGTGAGTATTCATGGGGTCAGACAACCTGCCATAGAAACCAGTATCATCCATAAGTGCTAGTACACTCCAGAGAAGGAAATAAATTTATTTATACCCTTTACCACTCCAATCCCCTTTGTCCTCCAGTGTTGCCCTAAACATGGCCTGAATTTCTTGTCCTAATTCTCTATGTATACATATATCTATATCTATCGATCGATCTATGATAGATCAATGGACTGATAGAGGTAGAGGAACTTTTCTGTTTATGTATGCAGGTGTGCAGGTGTCCATGGAGGCCCAAGGTTGAACCCCTCCTTAATCACCCTTCACCTTATTCATTGAGGCAGTCTCTCAACTGAACCCACAGCTTACCCACACACTAGTTTAGCTAGCCAGATTGCTCTGTGGATCCCATGTCTCTGCCTTCCAAGCACTGAAATTACAAGTGGACTGTCATGGGAACTTGGCATTTATATGAGTTCTAGCATCTAAACTTTGGTCCCCAGACTTGTACAACAAGTGTTCTAACCACTGAGTCAACTCCCCAGCCTCTACCTGTATTTTCCCAAATAAGCAATCTTTGATTCAATTCAATTCAATTTATTTTATTTTTATTTATTTGGTGACAGGGTCTTTATGTAGCCCTGGCTGACCTGGAACTCAGAGATCCTCCTGCCTCTTCTTCCCGAGTGCCTGAATTAAAGGCATGCAACCACCATACCTGACTCCATTTTATTTTATTTTTTGAAACAGAGTCTCACCATATATCTCTTGTTAGCCTTGAACTCATAGAGATCTGCCTGCCTCTCAGCCTCCCAAGAGCTGTGATAAAAGGTGTATGCCACCACACCCAGCATCAATTCAATTTTTGATTCAATTTTTTTTTAACAATTAGAATCTTCTGCCTTTCTTTTTTATTGTGAAAAAATATTTTAAGAAAAAAATTTAGTTAACAAAAATGTATTTTCTGCCTTTCTAATGTGTCCTGCTTTCCTTAGTGCTAGTAGTTTGTGTCCCTCCCCAACCCACATTCTTGTGGTTTAATCCCCAGAGGGCAGCACTGAGGGGTAGTAGAACCTTTAAGACCGACCTAGTTGGAGGCTTAGGTCACTGAGGAACTATCTTCCAAGATCTTGTAAATTCCTTGCCATAGGTTTCTTAGAAAAGGAACAGGCTCTGCTTCACTCAGCTCTCTATTGCCTATTGTGTTATGATAAAGCTCAAGGTGAATCTTGGTGGATTCCATGGCTGGTGAGGTCAACCGAGGTGGGGAACAAACATGCCAGGCAGACAGAGCTTAAGGGAGAAGTTAAAGGGAAATGGGGGGGGGGGGGGAGAAAAGATGTAGAGAGACACAGAGACATAGGGACACAGAGGACAGAAGAGAAGAGGGAGAGGAAAAGTCCTGTCTGCCCCAGGGGAACAGCAGGAAAGAGAGCATAGTGGACAGGTGTCTTTTTTTTTTTAAAGGGGTCCTTTGCACTTGTGTGCAGACTATGCAACCATGGAACCCTGGGCTAACCAGGGTAATCCCTGAGTGCCTTCTGTCAGATGACAGGGGCAGGCCAGCATAATGCCTGAATCCTTACATATTGGAGAAGTGACTGTGTAGCCCAGCCTGTACTCCAGCCATCTGTCACTGGACTCTTGCCAGGTCTGTGATTTGCCACACAGTCTCTTCAGCCTTTAAAATGGTGAGCTAAATAAGCCTTCTGGTTTTTAATAGAATTTTTATTTATTCTTTTAGAGCTTCATACATATATGCAACATGTATCCACCCTCTCATTCCCCTTGAACACCACTGGAACTTCCCTAACAAGTCTCCCTCAAAAGTGTTTTTTAATAACCCAAAGTCCAATTAGTGCTGCCTGAATGCATGTGACACCCGTGAAGAAAAGTAACTCTGTCTTCAGTAGCTATCAATGACAAGCTACTGTCATGTAGCTGCTACTGTCTTGCACTCCTGATCCTCCTGCCTCCACTTCTCAAGTACTGAGATTATAGCTGCACCATTATATACAACTAAACTTTTTTCCCCATAAGTGTCCTGCTCCAGGTATTTTATTATAGCAGTGAAAAGCACCTCTACTACTACTAGTTCTCTGAGATTCTTGTTAATTTTTGATACGGGTACTTGGGCTGTAGTTTAGGCTGGCCTAGAACTCGTTATGTAGTCCAGGATGACCTCAAACTTGCATTACCCTCCTGCCACAGCCTCCCAAGTGCAGGCATTTAGGTATGTGCCACCATACTCAGCTTTTAGTTTTGTTTTTAAATTTTTATTTATGTATTTATTTATTTTTTGAGACAGAGTTTTTCTGTAGAGAAACTTGTATTACCCTTCTGCCTCTGCCTCCCCAGTGCTATGATTAATGGCATGAGCCACCACCACTCGGCTTTGGTTTTGTTTTTTAAATGTTTGATTAGAGCTGGAGAGATGGCTTAGCAGTTAAGAGCACTTGCTGTCTTGCAGAGAACCTAGGTTCCATTCCCCAGCACCCACAACCATCTGTAGCTCCGGTTCCAAAGGCTCCAATAGAAATGGTACACAAGCAAAACATTCATACACATAAAATGAAAAATAAATCTAAAGTAATGTAAATATTTTATTACACTTATTTACTTATTTGTGTTGGTTGGAAAACAGTGTATATATGTCCATGGTGCACATAAAAGGGGTCAAAAGACAAATTTTTCTCTCTTTTTATTGAAAATGGATTCATGAGCTGGGCATGGTGGTACACACCTTTGATCCCAGTACTGGGTAGGCAGAGGCAGGCAAATCTCTGTGAGTTCAAGGCCAGCCTGGTCTACAAAGTGAATTCCAGGATAGCCAGGGCTGTCACATAGAGAAACCCTGTCTTGTGGGGGAAAAAAAAGATTCTTTTCTCATAAAATATATCCTGATTACATTTCTCCTCCCTCTACTCCTCCATGTTCCTCCTACTTCCCCTCTCCCCTCTCTTTCTGATTCTTATTAGAAAAGAGCAGGCTTCTAAGAGATAACAACCAAACATGACACAATAAAATATAATGAGATAAAACAAATCTATCACAGCCTGGCTGAACAAGACCACCCAAAAGAAGGAAAAGACCCCTTGAGAAGACACAAAAATCAGAGACCCATTAGTTCACACATTCAAGAGTTCCAAAAAAAATCCTAAACTGAAGTGGGGCACTCAGGAGGCAGAGGCAAGTGGATCTCTGTGAGTTCAAGGCCAGCTTGGTCTACAAAGTGAGTTCTAAAACAGGTTCCAAAGCTACACAGAGAAACCCTGTCTCAAAAAAAAAAATAAGCTGAAAGCTATTAATCTATATGTAGAGGACCTGGTGCAGACCTATGCTGACCCTGTACTTGCTGCCTCAGTCAGAGGACAACTTTCAAGAGTCATTTCTCTCCTTCTACCATATGGGTCCAGGAGAACCAACTCAAGTAGTCAGACTTGACAGTAAGTGTCCTTACTGCCTGAGCCATACTATTGGCTTCCAGCCTTTTTTTGTGACATGGTCTTACTGTGTAACCCATACTGACCTGGAATTCATAATCCTGTCTCCAGATCTCTGTTGAATTCAAGGCCTACAGTCTTTTACTAGAATGCTGGGTTCATCAGTTAGGCTAGGGTAGCTGACCAGTGAGCTCTAGAGATTATAAACATAAGCCACTGTGCCTGGCTTTTTATGTGGAGCCTGAGGATCAAACTCAAGTCCCCATGGGAGAAGAGCAAACACTACTAATTGAGCTATCTCCAGTTCCCACCATTGCCCCCGTTTTAACAGACATTCTAGGAGACTTTGATGTGGCTGAACTTTAAGAACCCTTGCTCCACTTTGTACCTGCAAAGCCTAACAACTTCCTCACATAAGACCTATGTGTCAATGAGTGAGGAGTGTCTGCTGCAGGTATCACAAGCACAGGAATTCTTCATTCATGATGTATTCACTGAGTGCCTACTGTGGACCATGCCTGATAGAGGTGACACAGATCCTTAGGACTTATGGGAGCCTGAGGTAAAGGAAACAAACTTCATGCAAGAGCTGAGGCTGGAATGCAAGGACTTTGAGTCTCTTGGGGCTCCTAGATTTACATGAATCCTTAGAGATGCTCAGTTGGGCATAACTCAGCCTTCACAATCCAAAAGCTTCATACACGTGCATGGGCTTCTTTCTCTAAGGGGGCCATCCACTTCAGTATACATAAAGACAGGTTCTGTGCACTATCCATGAAACACACAGACCACCTGACCACAGGCCAACCCACATTCAAACTTGAAGAGTTGAGCCTAAGTCAAAAGTTCCCTGAAGCTAGACCCCACTCCTTTTAGAGTTTGAATATCATCTACCAGCTGCCTGTGCTTGGGTAAATAACCCAGGGATTCCTGTGTAAGGATCATCCTACGTCTTTCAACCCATTTCCTTTTCTAAAATACCTTCTATAAAAAGTCAGTGACAGAAAATGAAGGGATAAAGACTCAGTCCTGCCTCTAAATGGCAAGATCAGATCTGTATTGGTCTGAGAGGTTGTTGTCACTAAACCTGGAGCAGCTCAGTATCCAAGGGCTACAAGAAAACAGCCCATTATTGGAGGTTTATAGCTGTTGAGTAGGGAGGTGGAGGGTCTGGTGAAGACAGTCCTATGGACTGCTTTTTGTATAAAGTGGTTTTTAAAACTTTGGGGTGGGAGATAATTCAGATAGATGGTCTGTTTCTGCAACCTCTGTGCTCTGGGTCAGGTGAAAGGTTGACTGTTTTCTGGAACTCCATGGCAGCACATTTCTTGAATCCTTGAGCCTATTTTATGGACCTTTTGTGTATGGAGAAAGTCTTCTACTTCTTTTTTCTACAACCTCCCCACATCACTAGCTCCCTTTTCTTCTATG